GGTTCGCGGGCAGCCGGACCAGGGCGGTGGGGGCCAAGCCGTTCTTGGCTGGACTACAACGCCCATCGCCCCCTCACCGACTCCAAACCGTCTCTGGAGCTGCGGGGGCTCCCAAGCCCCGGTTGTCCGCAAAATAAGAGACGGGAGCGCTCCGGCCCGCACGACCTCCTCGGAGACCCCGCGCCCGGGCCCCGCTTGCAGACCGACCGCCCCCGCCAGGAAGGAACGGCGCCCGTTAGTTGGGAATCGCTGCCGCCGAGCCGAGGGAGGACGCCGTTCAAACGCGGCTCCTTGACGTTTGGGGCGTTGGAACAGAGAAGGAACGACTGTAATTCGTTTTCAAAAGGAACTTCCCAGGCTCTGGTCGCCCTCCGCGGGTCTTTGACGAGTCCTCCCCTCCACCCCAAAAAGCGTAAGAACCGGGCGCCTCGGGCAGTGTGTCCAGGAGGGGGCGCTGTTGGCAAAGAAATGAATTTAGGCCGTCTCCACTCCCCCCCCCCCCCCCCCCCCGCTTCTTTTCTGAGGCTGGAGGGGCTCTGGGGGATTCTGGGGGTTGTAGTCTGCCGCCCCACCCGGCCAGAAAACTTCCTTCCACTTTGCCCCCACAGAACCAAGCGTGGGGGGAAGAGGGAAAGATCTCTCTGCTGGCACATGGGATCTGCACAGGTTCCGTTCCGGTAAAGAGTTTAGGAGGGGGGGCAGTGGGTAGGGGGCTCAGTAGACAAATTTGGTCCCCCTGCATGCCCCCCCCCAAGGCTTTCTATTGGGGAAGAAGGGAAGCACAAGACTGGGTCACTCTGACCCAAACCTTCTCCAAACCCAGCATGTTCCATCAGTGACTACACTTACCCTCATCCACGACCTGCATGGGCTGGTCTAGTGGATAGTTGTAGCCCAGCTGGGTTGAGAGAAGGCTGATCTGGGCAGGCCATGGGGCTGGGTCTTCCTCCCACTTTTCTAATTCACCACCTTTAAAAAAGAAACAGCGCTGGGGAATCAGACTTTTTTCTCTCTCTCTCCCAGACTTTGTAAGAACTGTAACTAGGCGTTCCTTCTCCTGCTGCTTCTGCTCCTCGTTTTATCTTGGTTTCACAGGCGCACAGGCAGGCCTCCGAAAGGTGTCAAGGAAAGGGGCATCCAACGTGGCCAGTCTGGAGTGGATGCCAACGGTTGGATCCCCAGCTGTAAAAACAGGATTTCCCCGGCAGGAACGGCCCTGTCCTGTCCCTCTCCTTTTCTGTTTTCCTACCCTGGACGCAGATCAGGGAGTCCACCTCCTCTTGGCGGCCGGAGCCTCCTGCGGGGAGGGGGGCTCTCGGAGCAGGGAGAGGTGAGAGGCGCCTGTGGCTCAGCCACCCCAGAAGGAAGGCCACCATCTTTTCCCAGGCTGCAGAGGTTACTCCCCGCTGGCCCAGACTCCCCACTCCTCAGCTGTGAAGGGGAAGGAGGTGGCTCCCTGGGAAAGGACTGCAGGTTACTCACGCAAGCGAGCCCAGCTGCGTGCATGCCAGGAAAGAGGAGGGTAGACAAAGTCTTCCTGTCTTTTCAGAGTTCAAGGCACAACCAAGGGATTGGGCCTGAAAAGCTGAACATGGGCTGCGACAGCCTCCGACGTCCTAGAAATCTCCCCCTCCCCATCTGCCTTTCACCAGGGCCTGGATCCAATCAGCAGCTGGTTCCTCTCCCTGCGGGCTGCACTGCCCTTCTTGGGGGAGCCCGGGCCCCTGTTTCCATCTCCACGCTGGCCTTACTTCCTCCTCCTCCTCCTCCTCCTCCTCTTTCTCTTCTCTGCCACGGGCCTAGCAGGAACAACCAAGTCCGGATGGCCACATGTGCCCTGTTGGATCGGGGGGCCAAGTTACAGGGCTTTGGAGGAAGGGGGGGGCGATGCCTCAACAATGCCCGGCCCATGGATCTCCCAGAGACAAGACGTAGATGACCGGGGTGGTGGTGGAGAAGAGTGCAGAGAAGGGCCCTGGCCCAGAGCGAGCTTCCCTCAGACCCCAAAGAGCACTGCTTGCCGTGTGGCCACTTCAGAGTATCCCATAATGATCCAGGCAGGCCAGGCTGCAGAAAGTGTGTCTGGAGAGCTGGTGTCTCCCTCTACTCCTTCCCCGGATCCTGCTATATAGACTTCCTTGGAGGGAGTCTTGCCAAGCTCTTGTTTCTTGTGGGGCGAGTTAGACGCTTGTGCAATAAATCTGGTCGTCTTTTGGGCGACACACAGTTCTTTGGCCGCAGTTGTTTTCCAAAGCAGACTTGCACACATTAACTACTCTCTCTTTGCCCTTATAAATATTTTTATTGCGTCTTTCTTTAAAAACAAAATGCCAGGAGAACTTTCAGGTTTGGAAAAAGAAAAAAAAAACTTTGCAAAGGGCATCACAACCCAAAAGGGAAAGAACAGACAAAAGCCAGCTAGCAGGATATATAAATAAACAGGCGTGCATTCTCTCCTCTTAATAAGTTACCAGCTGCCGGTGCATGACACGGGCTAGCTCTGATCAATGTTGGTATTCTGTTTTGGAAAGAAGAGAAGAGAGAGTCTCTTTCAGCCGCCCCTGTGGGAGTCACCCAGCCACCTCGTGGGAACGGGGGGGGGGCTTTCCCTATCTGTTCCTTGGTGTGTTTCTGGCAGCAACAGGCTCCCTTTTCCCAAGTGCAGTTTTTGCAGTGATCACCCAGGAAAGGTGAGCAAGAAAAAGCTCTCTTTAGGTCCACCAGTAAAGCTCTAGACCCCCCCGGGCTACTCGAGGCAAGCAGATGTCGTTTGGCCCTGCCCCAAAAGAGGCCGTCTGTCTGGCCTCTTTGTTAAAATCCTGCCCGAAAGGGAGCCCAGCGCCTTCCTCAGCTGGCCAAGGGCTGGCCCTGGGGTGCCGGGTGCGTGGGGGGGCAGCCACCCTCCAGACCCTCTTCCCCCCCCATTACTTCGCTGTTGACCCCACTCTCCTTGCGTCCAGGTCCTGCCGAGGGACGACGATGACGGCCCCAGGATGGCTGAACGACAATCTGCGGACTGTCCGTCCTTCCTCCGCCTCTGACACGCGTGGCCTGTTGTGGCTCTGGGCTGCCTTTTGGGATTTCCGGTGAGTTGCTCCTTGCAGGCCTGCACCCGCACCTGCAGGGGAGGAAAAGTGTGTCTTTCTCTCCCCCCCACCCCCTCCCCCACCTGGAGGCACAGGAGGCGGCAGCACCCTTAAGTCCCTCCTGCGCTTATGCGGAAGGGCCCAAAGGGGTGCTAAAGAATCTGGATTGAGTGCCACCTGGTACCCAGAGAGGCCCTCCCTCCCTCCCTCCCTGTCAGGACGAGGCCCCTCAGGCGGCCCTGCTCCACAGGCCTCGTCTCTTCGCCTTGTCTCTTCGCCTTTCCGCTGCCTGTCGGACTCAA